TTGCTATGCAATCTTGGGCGTGTGGTTGAACATTTTTGTCCCCGCTGTTTCCCATCTGTACAATGGGGGTGGTAAGAAGAGCACTCACAGTATTGGATTGGATTGTTCTGAAGATTAAGAATTAATCCATCTGAAGCACCTGAGAAAATGCCTGGCACATAACGGAGCACAGGATTTTTCTGGATTCCTTTGACTTTCCAAGAGGAGTCAAAAGGATTTCTGAACTACAAAATACTGGATTTTCAGAATTAACTGTATCTGCTTCATAAAGTTTCATGGGGCATAATAGATTCTAGTTTAGGTTAACTGGCTTTGGTTGCGTTTCTATTTCCACTTAATTTCTTAAATTGTCCTACATGGCTCTCTGGAAAGCAGGAGTGACACTTCCATTCTACCATATGATTGGCAAAAGTCTTCTGGCCCTTGACCGAGTAGATTCTACTTAGAACAAGGATGTTTTGTTCCTATTTAAAAAATATATATTGTACAGCTCAAGACTAGAGCTCTAACAGAATCACTGATTTATTAATTTCTCCTTTGGCCAACCAAAGGAAAGAAAAGCAAAGTTTGAGGCTCTTGTCTCACCTCAAAGAAGTGCATTTTATAGTTCTTCAGAGCTTTCAGATGCCGATTTCAATACATTCTTCTCTGACAACAAATTAACATGCAGTGTTTTAAGATTAAAGCTTAACATTCCACAGGAGACAGAGTTTAACTCTAGAAGGCCAGGTTTCTCCCAGGGGACCTCTTACCAATATCTTTGCAAGGACATATTCATGGTAACTAGAGACCTAGATTTTGTTCTCGTGAATGTTATTGACCTTCAATTTCACTAAGCAAGTATCCTCTAAATAGCTTTATGTTTAGAATTCTGTTTTCTTTTTACACCTACAAAAACAGTGCTCTTCTCTGAGCAAAGCCCCCTTTACAAACAGTAGTTAACTAGTATGCCTAGTTTTTAGGCTACAGAAATAATTTTATTTGCCTAGATTTATTCGGAAGTACAGTTTCTAAAGATATCTAAGACTCAATAAGATAAAGACTTTTAAGGAAGGCACATTAAAGCTACTCCTCCTCTGCTTCTGTATTTTCCTTGTCTTAGAGTATGCGTCTACTGGTGTGCCATTGGTCTGAAATAGGTCATGTGGAGACAGGAAACTGGAATATTGACCATGGAGCTGCCAATGATATACTTTTTAGAGATGATGCATGAGATGTTGTCTGTTGCTGACCCAAGTCATTTCTGCCTCTTTCCAGCTAATAGAATCCCAATTTGTTCAGATAGGGACCTTCGCCAGGGATGAACCATGATTGAGCTAAGTAAACCAGGCTTTCTACTGTCATCTCTCTTGGATGTAATTGGTCAGATGATGAGCAGGTGACCTAGTTCAACTGCAGGTGGAGCCACCTGGGGAGGACTTCTTTTCCCGACTAAAAAGACAAAGCTGTGCAAAAAGGAAAGCTTTAACTTTCTCCCCTTCTTTCTTCCTGGAATATGGCTCTGGTTCCTGAGATGCAACAGATGTTTTGTGACATGAGCAAAAAGTCGAAGGATGAAAGGTAAAGATGAAGATGGTAAAACAGAAAGACAGAAAAGCCCTGATTCCTTGGTGGGATCATGGAGCAGTTGAACCTCCTCTAGCAACTGTAGGCCACTGGAATTCTCCTTATAGAAGAAAAATAATCCCCTATTCTATTAGGTTACTGAAGTTTGGGTTGCCGTTTCTTGCAACTGAATGCCTGACATAGATGGGTTCTCCTGAGGCTTGTTGTGAGACTCTATTGCTAACATAGTAAGTAATTTGGGTGTTTTCATTTGGGTTCCCTCAATAATAGACCTTATGACAAGGATTAGGGTGCAAGTGGTTCACTTGAGAGGCGAAGGAAATATCAATAAGCAGTTAGGGAAGTGAAACAGACAAAAAGCAGCCAATAAAGGGTGCATTATCAACTCGGCTACCACTGTGAAGAAACTCTACAAAAAAATGGAAAACACATGCCTCAGGGGTAAAGTGGCTAGGGTATTTGCATACCAATTCATTTATCAGTTGAGGAATGCTTCCAGGGAACATTAACTCCCTGGCGTATCTGTCTACCATGTAGGAGGCAAACTGGGCTTTAACAGTCAGAGAAACCCTCAGGAGAAGAAATGCAGGGATTGATCTTTGAAAGTACAGATAGCATGCATTGAAAAACTAGGAGATATGGAAGGACAATCAAGAGCATCTGCCGCAACCAATGAGCTGCAATAAACACAGGTATTAACAGCTCTAATCGCTGCATTCATCTCTAATAAGAGACATTTTAAAAGTACCTTACAGACACATGTGTCTCCCTGCTAACTCCAAGTCTAAGTATAATCAGACTCCTCCTTCCCTGATAAATCCCCATGTTAAGGACTTTTAACATGCCTTAAAAGTCATTGACTATTTCTTCCTGAAGTCAAAATTGATAGTAAAATAAAAAAGGTATGCATTCAACATGCCCTTTGGCTCTGACTTATGTTGGCCAAGGAAGGAAAGAGGATTGGGATTTAAGTGAAAGGTGAACAAACAGTATTCATCTTCCATCTGTATTTAGTCTCATATTTCCTCCCTACCCTTCCCATTCTGGTTTCAAGAAGTAACACCTGCCAGGCGCGGTGGCTCATGCCTGTAATCCCAGCACTGTGGGAGGCCGAAGCGGGTGGATCACCTGAGTTTAGGAGTTTGAGACCAGCCTGACCAATATGGTGAAACCCCATCTCTACTAAAAATACAAAAATGAGCCAGGCATGGTGGTGTACGCCTGTAGTCCCAGCTACTTAGGAGGCTGAGGCAGGAGAACTGCTTGAACCCAGGAGGCGGAGGTTGCAGTGAGCCGAGATAGCACTCCAGCCTGGGGACAGAGACTCTGTCTCAAAAACAAAAAAGTTACACCCTACTCTATTTTAAAAGTTTACTCATTTCTCTTCTCTTTCTCCACCTTCCTGCAATAAATCCATAAGACCTGACTCACCTGTTTCATAATTCCTACTCCACGTTAAAAATAAAACATTATGATATGCTCCATGTATCAGTTCATTTTCATGCTGCTATAAAGAACTGCCTGCGACTGGGTAACTTATAAAGGAAATAGGTTTAATTGACTCACAGTTCAGCACGGCTGGGGAAGGTCTCAAGAAACGTACAACCATGGTGGCAGGTGAAGGGGAAGCAAGAGACCATCTTCACAAAGCGGCTGGAAGGAGCAGTGCCGAGCGAAGGGGGAAGAGCTCCTTATTAAACCATCAGATCTCGTGAGAACTCACTCACTATCATGAGAACAGTGTTGGGGGAAGGGCCCATGATTCAATTACCTCCACCTGGTCTCTCCCTTGACAGGTGGGGATTATGGAGATTACAATTCAAGATGAGATTTGGGTGGGGAGGCAAAACCTAACCATATCGTTCCACTTATGTTTTATTGGATTTACATATTTGTTGGAGGTGGGTTAATATGGTTGATAAAAGTAGCATTGGACTAGAAATTTTATGAGACCTGAATTCTTGTACCAAATGTATAAATAGACTAGCTGAAAGAACATGTGCTATGCACTTACCTTTTCCATGGCTCAGTTTCCAGATGAAGAAAATTCAGGGTTTGACAAAACCAGCTCTAATGACCCTTCTTACTCTGAAGGTCTAATTCTTCAGTTGACTTGGAGGCTGGCTGCCTCTGTCTATGTTGTGTTTGTTTTATGACTCAGATTATTTCCTCCTAGAAGGCTTTCTATGGAGCTAGTCTAACTAGGCAGTGAAATAGGAAGCTAGCCCCATGGTCCTATTGAGATGAAACTAAGGGAAGGAATCCTTTCCCAAGTTCAAACCCTACTGCCTGTTATTCTACCAGTATAGTTTTATTTTATCATGTAAAGGATTTGCCAGTTTTACTAAGTATCATTCTGGAGAATGGGGATTACTCTTTAATGAACAGATATCATATCAATTAACACTATAGCAGAAAATAATGAGGGTGGGAAGGGTAATGGCAGATAGAGTAATAAAGACAAGAAGAGAAAAATAAAGAATGAGGCTAAGAGGGAAGATGGAGGATGTGGAAAGACCAACTTTGCTTACTTTGTCATTTTATTCTGCCTGACACCTCCTTTATACAATGTCCAGCATAGCCCCAAGTCATGTGCGGGTGAGTGATTTTGATGGGATAATGACATGACACTTTTAGTTAATGGTATTTATGGAGGACAGAATTACTTGGGAAGAAGAATGAAATTAAATCAAAACAAAAATGAGTTACTTTTTTCAAAAATAGAATCTTATTTTCATACTGAATGGATCAGCATCCATACTTTGAACTTTTAATAAATACATGAGAATGTAAAAAACATAACTTACAGCAAAATTCTACATTTGTTAGCTTTAAAGTTATTACCGAGTTCTCACCTTCACTTATATAACACCTGTCATTTTTCAATCTAAATCAGCCATATGTGCTTCAAAGGAGAATAGCCTGCTATTTAGAGCTTCCTAGCCATTATCACAAAATCAGACCACCACTCAGCACGCTGTCATTCAGACAGAAAAGAAATGCCATCTTATCTGTGCAATTTGTCACCCGAATGCTCTGAAGCTCCTTTGCTTCACAGCTAGGGTGCAAGTTAATTCATCCAACAAGTCAGACATCATTTTCCTAAAAAGGTCAGCTTCATACACTCAGAGACCATAAGCATGTATGCAGCAAGCTTCCAACAGCCACCTTGATATCTTTTCAGCACTGTCACATTTGCACGTGATATAAGGAACTAGCTCAAGAATTGGTGGTGAGTCTATGGGCTGCCAGATTCTCCTATCTGTGCTGAAAGAAACAATGGAATGCCTCTTTGATCCAAATTCTGTTCATGCAGTTGGTGTGAATTTTCATTTGGCCTCTGTTCCCCAACTATAGCCTGAAATCTTAGAAACACTATATCTTAGAAACATAGAAACTATGATCATGAACATGACATTTCTTTTGCTCTTTAGCATAGCCCATCTGTATTCTTTACACTAAGGCAAGAGGCAAGCAGAAGACAGAGAGAAAGAAAGACGCTTTCCGGGAAAAGAAACCCCCTTTTCAGTCTGCCCAGGCAAAAGTGGATTTACTCTGAGGATTCACTTCAAGGGTGAAGCTTTAGGAGTCCTTCACTTGCTCTGGTTTCATAAATATTCACCTTCTTACATACATTTGGATTAAATTTTCATGTTTTTTCTAAAAGAAGTTGTACAAACCTGAGGACCCATGAACTTAGTTTCACCCCTCCTACTAGGGAATCCAAGCAACTCCAAATGGCCTTTGTCACCATCTGATTCTTCAATTCCAATTTCCACATTGTTGTGTAAAAACAAGAAGCTATAGACAACAGTTGAGTTGTAAAGTTATCTGGTGTACTTTATTAATAGCAGTGATTGATGTGGATAATTGACAATCTGGAAAATCCTGAATACTTAACAAATAATATTATTTATATCTATCCATTTTACTCTACTTACATAGATGGAGGCTTTTTTAAAGAGTGTTACTTGTGAAACATGTTTTTAAAATTATTTTATCCTATTTAATGTTATTAGACCCCTGAGAACTCAAGTTAATAGAGATTAGCAATATGATTTTTATAAATATTTTTAAGTATTTACCTTCCAGACCACTGTAAATGGGATGGGCAATAATTATAAATTTATCATTACAATAAAAAGAATGTTAAGAAGAATATAAAAATTACAAAATCCCAATCCATCTTTTCACAAATTGACTGTCAAATGCATTCTAATGGGAAAATGATTAGTTAAAAAAGACATAATATACTGACATTGAGCCTATTTTATACTGAACAAGACTGTTTAAAATTCTTCACATAGCATGTTCAGGCTGCATTTTAATTAAATGCCATGTGGAAGTGCTCAGCTTTTAAACCTGCAATATTCCCAGGACAATAGTAAATTTCCAGGGAAAATTTGAGCTGCTAAAAAGTTATTTCTGAAAATGTCCTCTGTTCCTTATGATTTCAATGTAATGACCTTGCCACTCAAAAAAATCCATTAAAATATTTTCTCTCATAAATGATAACTTTATTTGATAGCAAATGTCTTGGAAGCATAATAAAAACTAATATTCACATCACATCATGTTATTTAAAATTATTTTCATATACTTTGTCTCATTTAAACAACATATCAACCCTATCAGTTTTATTTTTTATTTTTGTATTTTACTTTAAGTTCCAGGATACATGTGCAGAACGTGCAGGTTTGTTACATAGGTATACATGTGCCATGGTGGTTTGCTGCACCTGTCAACCCATCATCTAGGTTTTAAGTCCTGCATGCACTAGGTATTTGTCCTAATGCTCTCCCTCCCCTTGCCACCCAACACCTGACAGGCCCTGGTATTGTTGTTCCCCTCCCTGTGCCCACGTGTTCTCATTGCTCAACTCCCACTTATGAGTCAGAACATGCAGTGTTCGGTTTTCTGTTCATGTGTTAGTTTGCTGAGGATGATGGCTTCCAACTTCATCCATGTCCCTGCAAAGGACATGATCTCATTCTTTTTTATGGCTGCATTGTATTTGTACCACATTCTCTTCATCCAGTCTATCATTGATGGGCATTTGGCTTGGTTCCATGCCTTTGCTATTGTAAATAGTGGTGCAATAAACATATGTGTGCATGTGTCTTTATAGTAGAATGATCTATATTCCTTTGGGTATATACTCGGTAATGGGATTGCTGGGTCAAATGGTATTTCTGGTTCTAGATCCTTGAGGAATCGCCACACTGTCTTCCACAATTCCACAATTTACATTGCCACCAACAGTGTAAAAGTGTTCCTATTTCTTCATAGCTTTGCCAGCATCCATGGAAGTGGATGCTGGGCTCCATGGAAGTGGGACCCATTGAGTGAGACCACATGGTTCCCTGGCTTCAGCCCCCTTTCCAGAGGAGTGGACAGTTCTCCCGTCTCACTGGAGTTCCAGGCACCACTGGAGTATGAAAAAACTCTTACAACTCAGTGCATGCCCGAACAGCCGCCCAGTTTTGTGCTTGAAATCCAGGGCCCTGGTGGTGGTGGCTCATGAGGGAATCTCCTAATCCATGGATTGCCAGAATCTGTAGGAAAAGCAGTGCTCTGGGCAGGTAGCACAGTCCCTCACTGCTTCCCTTAGCTGGGGGAGGGAGGTCCCCTGGCTCCTTGCACTTCCTGGGTAAAGCAATGCCTCACCTTGCTTCTGCTTGTTCTCCATTTGCACCCAGTGCCTAACCAGTCCCAGTGAGATGAACTGGACACCTCAGATAGAAATGCAGAAATCACCTGCCTTCTGCATTGGTCTTGTTGGGAGCTGCAGACGGGAGCTGTTTCTATTTGGTCACCTTGGCCTTTCCCGCCCATCAGTTTTATTACCCTTGGTTTTCAGATAAGAACATTGAGACACAGAGTGGTTATCTAGTCCTAATTTTTAAGTCACGGGATCAGAATTACACAATTCCAAAACTTTCTTTTTCTTTCTTTTTATGAAATAATGTTAAAATTTATTAGTTAAAACACTTGAACTCTAACACATTTTGAATAAGAGTAACAAATTGTTATGCTAACAGTTAAAATGTGAATCCTACTCAAGAACATGCCGTTCTAGTCTTTGAAATTGAACTCTCCACCCTGATAACTGTTCTTTCTTCAATTTCAAAAATGAGATCAATTTTTCATCAACCTTTGCTATACAATTATTATTGCCCTTCCATGGAGAATGTGGTCATTTTTTCCTGCATTATTTCTACCACATAATCAGTACCTAATAACTTGTTACTCTACCCCCCATAAAAATCCCAGAGTCCTGAGGGTTTGGCCTGTTCTATATCATGGTCAGCTGGTAGATAATTTCTTTCCTTTAACCCACAGTGCCCTCCTGTGAGGAGAAAGGCACCCTGAACACAATAAGCACGATGAATGGCATCATCAATTTTGTTCTCAGCCTCTGCCAAGTGCTCTCTCATTCAGACAATATTTAATTTTCAAAGGTAGAGTCTTTCTTCTTCCAGGAACCTGGATAGAAACAATGCTCACCTAATGAAATGGGTCATATCATACAATTGGTTCTTTACCAGAGACCAGAAGGAAAGGCCTGTGATCACACATTTGATCCATTCTCACCCATTTCAGTTTCTTGCTATTTGCACTTGGCTCTCTACAGTCCAAGGCTCTTCCCCTTGCTCCAACATGGAGATACTACTCAGGTCAAAAAGAGAGATTCACAGGAAGATAAAGTACCTGTAGTTCTCCAACATCACATCTCTGCATAAAGCTCTCTGAGGAGAGGCTCCAGGCATGACCACTTCTCCCAAGAGGATTCCATGGCCACATCCCTAAGCGTCAGCAGTCCCGGAGTAGGAGTCATCCCTGACTTTTTTGTTTTCTCTTCCTCCTCTTCTAAGCTGCTTTCTGACGTGGAGGGGGTGGTGTGGGGATTTTCAGATCCATAGCAATGCCTGGGTGCTGGGTATGGAAGCAGGGGTTGGTGAAGCACAGGTTTAATCTAGACAGAGGGACACTCAAGCTCCCTGGTGTCATCCTCACTCCATGCAATTTGTTTCCCGGACTATCCTGAAACTTTCTATCAAACCTCAAACCACCTTTTAGTTACATTACGTACGATCTCATAGTAAAAATATAAATTTTCAAAACTTGCCACCATAACCACTCTTGACAGTTCTTCTATAAGACTTTTGTTACTGTCCCTTCATTACTCCAAATAGCAGGACTCAAAAAATAACTTTTATTTCTAATATCGATAGAAAAGCACCAAATGAAAAGAGCCAGGAAATGTAAAACCAAAATAAATACTATGTAACTGAAATGGTTTGGCTCTGTGACCCCACCCAAATCTCACCTTGAATTGTAATCCTCATAATCCCCACATGTCAAGGGCAGGACCAGGTGAAGGCAATTGGATTATGAGGTGGTTTCCCTCATGCTATTCTCACGACAGTAAGTGAGTTCTCATGAGATCTGATGGGTTTATAACGGGCTCTTCCCCTTCGCTTTGCACTTCCTCTTGCTGCCTTGTGAAGAAGGTGCCTACTTCTCCTTTGCCCTCTGCCATGATTGTAAGTTACCTTAGGCCTCCCCAGCAATGCAGAACTCTGAGTCCATTAAACTTCTTTCATTTATAAATTACCCAGTCTCGGGCAGTTCTTTATAGCAGCGTGAGAATGGACTAATACAATGACGATTCAAAATTATGCTTTTAGTTGAAAGGGTAGAATGGGGAGTTATTGTTCGATGGGTACAAAGTTTCATTTTTTTTCAAGATAAAAAGAGTTCCACATGGATGGAGCTGGAGGTCATTATCCTTAGCAAACTAACATAGGAACAGAAAACCAAATACTGCATGTACTCATTTATAAGCGGGAGCTAAATGATGAGAACACATGGACATATAGAAGGAAACGACACACATTGGGGCCTATCAGAGGGTGGAGGATGGGAGGAGGGAGAGGATCAGGAAACATAACCATGGGTGCTAGGCTTAGTACCTGAGTAATGAAATAATCTGTACAATAAACCCCAATGACACAAGTTTACCTATATAACAACTCTGCACATGTACCCTTGAACTTAAAATAAAAGTTAAACAGAAAAAAAAAGAAAAAAAGAAGAGTTATAGAGAAGAATGGTGGAGGTGGAGATGACTGCATAACAATGTGAATGTGAATGTACTTAACCTCACTGCACTGCACACTTAAAAATGCCTAAAGTGGTATATTTTGTTATGTGTATTTTAACACAATTAAAAATAATTTTTAAAAGATAAATAGATTAAAATATTAAACTCATGGGGAAATAGGACTAACTACTAAGGGCACTGTCCCATAAATGTAGTTGTTTACATTTGACTTGTACAAATGTAAATGGACTTTCATTTTTTTTAAATTTAATGACTTGGGAAAATATTCATGATGTAATATTAAAGTGGAAAAAAACCACAAGATACAAAACTATATAGAACAATGTTGGTTGGAATGTAAACCAGTACAGCCACCATGGAAAACATTACAGAGAGATTTCTCAAAGAACTAAAAATAGAACTACCATACAATCCAGCAATCCTACTGCTGTCTATTCACACCCCCAATAAAAGGAAATCAGTATATCAAAGAGACACCTGCACCCCTATGTTTATTGCAGCAGTATA